GAGACCAAAGGCCGAGTCATGAGTGGTGGTTGGGAAAAATGAGACTGAACTCACATGTTTGCTACAACCATTTTGAGAAAGAAGGACGACAATATCTCAATGCCTTGCAAGTAATTTACAAACCAGGTCGATCGATCCATATTGATCTTTAAAAAACTTAACAAGTAGGGCCGAGTTTAATAACCGGAATAATTTTATTTTTTGGACTTCCCTGCCATTTGATGACTATATCATAATACTTGTATTCATTTGCTTTCACCAATTGTAGTTAAGTCTAGAATCATTAACTTGTTGCATGAGATCTACAACTTGATTGAATGGTGTAAATATTGCAAAATAGACAGACCATAAGGATTTTTCCCTCCTTAAATTGGAAAATTCTTTATTCTTTTAATTTCCACAGATTTTAATTCATTGATTCTCTTTGCTTCTTTCTATCTAGTGCAATATGTTTACAGAGAAGTAGAAGAATTGTGTTCAAGTTTGGTGAGCTAACTGGTTTACTAATTATAATTAGGTATTGATGGAACAAAGTTGGTTTGATGGTTCTATTATGGCAGATCCCATCTGTGCTTTTACACATCTTTCTTCATATTTTTTCTCTTTTTGGTTAGAAAAATTGCCCCATTCACCAAAAAAAAGCAAGTTAACCTTTTTGGCTTTGACATTAAGAGTTAAATATTGATACTGAATAATGTTATGGATTAGTATGCTCTCTTCGTACAAATAATACATAATTTTATGATATTCAAATTATAATTATTGATTATTTACAACATATGAGAAAAATAAACACAAAAAAAAGAGAAAATCATATCATGTTCCACTTAAAAGTGATAAAAAAATATTTTTTTCATTAAAAAAAGATCTTTTAATTTTTTTTCCTCATGTTTCTTGTTTTTTCTTTGTATCAGTCTCTCTTACGTTGTGTATATCTTATAGTTACTACTTGAATACCTGGAATAATACAACTAGTAATGTTAATTTAGTCTAGAGTGATATCTTTCATTACACACACACACACATATATATATATAATTGTCATGATCTTGTTATATTTATAGGAAAATAGAATAATTCATGATTTTTTTTCCTTGATTATCGGATAATCTTGGCATTTGACCTTAAAGAAATTGAGACAATACGAGGTATAACCTATCATGTTATTCTCAAATACGAGAAGATCTCATATTATGATGGGACAATGTGAATTGTTCATGAATCATTATATAAGCAATTGTCCTTTGAGGAAAAGAAAACATCACTTTCTTGAACTCATCTCCGAACCTAACTTAGAAATTGAGCTGGAGGAATGTGAGCAAAGTCTAAACAGCAGAGCCCTTAAATTTAACATATCGCTTTTTTTAAAAAAAAAAAAAAACTTTCCTCCTTGCAAAAAATGGTATAGACATTTGTGTTGGAGAGGGAAAGGGTAGGAGCACGTTATACATCCAAAAAAGCATGCGTCATAAATTAGTTTTCGCAAATAATTAATTAAAAAAAACCCGGAAAGGCCTCCAAGTGGATTAAGAGAGAGAGCATTGTGAATTTGTCCACTGCTTTCCTTTTTTTGGGTCCTTTAAAAAAGAAATCCAGCCATTTAACTTCTTTTTCTTTCAATTTGACCCTTTCATTTGAATTGATTTGAATTGTACTAGTATCATCTATTAATAGGATGGACTCAGCTGATTAATTCGAAAAGCTCTGGAAAAAATAAAAAACTCTATTACAGTGCGTGTGTTTTGGGTGGCTTTCCTTTCAGTACAAGGTTTCGCAAGCTTTTCTCCCGACCCCTGCTCTTAGCAGGATGAAGCATTTCAGTTGGGTCAAAGGAAGGAATTTGAGTGAAGATACCTCATACTCAACCCTCATTCAGACACTCTCCCTAAGGAATGTAAAGAGAATTTGCTGATAAAAAAGAAAAGAACAGACATTTGAACTACTATACAAAGTTTCGAATACATGAAAGTCATGTATGGGGAAGCCCTGCAGCTTTTAGCATCTTATACTTTGATCAAGGAATATAGAAGCTTGAGTAAGCAGACATTTGATGTTCGAAGACTGTCCAAGTTGCAAAAATCTCATGGCAATTTGTATGATGATATAACCGCAACAAGAGCAAATCTTAAGAGATGAGAAAGACAGCCAACAGTTCCATAATTTTTTATGGTAAGATCAGTTTCAGTTAAAACATAAAAATTTGTAGAAACTAGCGGGAAAAGGAGAACTTTTAGCTGAAATGTGTAGGACAATCTATGCAGGTGAGTATAAAGAATGTGATAGTTCTGAATCGCTAGTTGTGGATATATTACTAGTGGATTATGCAGAAAATCTTGCATGCTCATTTATAAACTAGCTGTGAATATGTTACTAGTGGATCATGCAGAAAATCTAGCATATTCATTAAACTGATAGGACAAAGCAAAGCCTAAAAAGAGGCTTGTTCACACCAAACAAATAGTGCAATAAGAAAAAAAAAACAACCATTAAAATAGACTCAAATTTTGCTAAATAATTCTACAAAATCAATTCTATTTGAGTTTGTAGGTTAAGAAAACCCTCAAATTAAGCCCAGATGATTCTATTTGAGTCAACTTCAATATATTTCTGTTTTATTTTCAGATTTGTAGTTTAATTTTGAATTTTATATTTTCTTTTCTATTTGAACTTGAGATTCTGATTTTCCTTGTAAATGTTGGTTTTCTAAGCTAATTAAAGTACAAAGTATAGTACATCATATTAGAGAAAAACATTTCCACAAAAAATACTAATTAGAATTCTTACGATGACATCCCTTTTCGGCAACAATTCTGTTTTTCTTTGCTTGTTGTCTTCTTGAGCGTTGTTGAGGCAGAACCAAAACAATAATTCCAGTGTTTGAGATAATTCATGACCATTTATAGTTAAATTAACGACCGAGGTGTCAATTTTCAGCGCAAGGTTAATTGTAAGCATGATTGACGACATTCAACAAAGACTGCTGCAGTTCCTGGGATTATAGATATTTGATCCAGTGAAATAGAACATCAATAAAAGTCGGTGTTATATCACTAAAGAGGAAAGAGGAATAACATAAGCAAAATAAAGCCAATTCCAAATTTCCAATACCTTAGCGACAACCTACCTTCAATTCTCTGTCAAAACTCTAGTCATCACTTCCTACTTACTTGGATACAACATACAGGCAATTAATTGTTGTCATAAACCAATTCCAAAAGTTTGCTTCTGTCGAGATTTATTCTTACCCAACAGTTTCATCTGGTTTGCATGTTCTTCTTCGTCTTCCAGCTTTTTCCTCCAAGCAGCCTCTTCCTTTTGTCTTTGGATCAGCTCTAACTCACGAAATCGTTCCTCCTCTTTCCTTTGTTGCTCCAAGGCTTCTCTTCTCTGTGCTTCTTCCACTCTCCTCCTATTCTCTTCCAGCATCTTATCCAGCTCTTCTCTTTCTTTTTGAGCTTGTTCCTGAGTGGTCATATTCATGTCAAAATGTGCACGAGGCCAAAATGACAGAAACCTCTAATGAACTGGTTTTAGGGAGCAACAAATTTCTGATACTTCTAGTTTCTTTTAAAAAGAAAGAAAGAAAGATAGATAGAAAATAAAAGAAAAGCTTATTCATATGCTTTCAGCAATAAACGTTGATCAAAATAGATATCGAATGGTACACTGTTAGGCACAGAAGAAAAGGGAACTGATACAAATTGAAAAAATTAACTGTGGTGCAGTCCGCTTACATATGACAGACAGACCAGGTAAATCCATATCTAAGATGGTTAACGTAAGTGGGTAGAAGAGCAGAAGAAATAGAGGTGGGGAAAACTAACTTTAGGAGGGACCAACTCAAATACTTATCTAGGTTCACGGTTCAG